AAAAAGATACATTAATGTTTAAGCCAGTAATAACATAAGCAAACGTAATGCTTATAATAATAACAAACAGCAAATACTGTAGATCTAGATTTCAAACTTTATTGTAATAAACTACTATTCCATAAACACTACAAGAATTCAAGGCCAGTGTTTCCAATTGAGTACTATTTTTAATTTTTTGTTTTTGGTGATTATCGTTTTTATTGTATATGATACTTTTTCCATCAGTCAAGAAACCTAAGCTGAATGGGGGAAAGGAGATGAGATCAGTATTGTATGGACACAGTACACAACTATTCACTATAAATCTTCAGGACACACTGCATGTTAATTTTGGTTCCTAACACATTTCTCTAAAGGACATTAAAAGAAAAAATAATAATCATTTAGTGCATTTATAATTCACTTTTCATTCTTTAGATCCCAAAGAACTTTATATATTGGAGAGGACCCATTTTATCCAGCACTCAAGTGTAGTACAGTATATATGCAGCAATGCAAAGGAGCCATTATGCACCATGATAGGGCAATACCATTTTCCTGGACTACATAAGAATTACTTACTGCATGTTAGTTCTAAAGTTACCCTAGACTTCTTCTTAGAACTTAAAATTGCAGGAATAGGGAGGTGATGTCAAATACCGGTACCAACACAAAACACAGCACAAGGAAAAATCCCATAAAAAAATTGTCCTATATTGTTACAGCTTTAGTGACTGAGATTTTAGAAAAAAATTGTGCCACTTGGCAGAGTAAAAACTTCTAGCTTCAAAGCAGAGAGGATGATTGTTGAGATGTAGGGGTCCCTTGATCAGAAATCATTATAAAGTTTACCTTGGCATACCTAGGTAAGTTGTGGGTTAATGATTGTCAATGAGCAGTACAGAAACACACAATTTACGATCACATTAAGAACAAGGAAGGAGACAACAAGAAGGGGGAAGAGCAGGACAAGAACAGAGAGGAGAGAGGAGTTGGAACTTGAAGCTTGCACCAGGCGAGAGCCCCTACTTCATGATCATCCAAACAAAATGCGAAGGGAGCTACTGTATGTATTTGAACCTTGTTAGGGAAAGCTTGCTATTCTGTATTTTTAGGGAACTTGGGTTTCCAGGGTAAAAGATACCTTGGTTAGAAACGTCTTTCCTGCTTGTGGGTGCATTTCTAGAACAGGGAGATAGGCTCCCATATATTTTGTGTTTTATTTTGAGATAGAGATTTAACTGCAGGTTACATTTATTAATAAGAAAACAGATTGTCTCTTATTTGGCCTCTGTTGGCATGAAGAGTTTAATATTTAGTAGAAGTCTGGGGTTTTCTGGGTGATTAGGATTTTAGGCCTCTGAAACGCCTTGTTTGTAAATACTGTGTGTTGTGTGTTTAAGTTATATGCAGCATACTGTTTGTGTAGCATAGTGTTTGTCTCATCTTTGCTAATAAATATTTGTTTAACCAAACGTGTCTGGATTATTACTCTTTTCAACAAATTTGTGCCAGAGAACAAAGAATTATCACGCCTGGTTTATTCTGGAGAAATCACTAAGTCTGGTCATGGCAGGATAGCATAGAGGTATCAACTTTCACAAACGTCTTCAGGTTCAATGCACCTTTTTTTATCTTTGTGCCTTATTGTGTTAAAATGTCTCTGAACAACGTTTCCTTGGGAAAACTATATATAGCCTTTTCAACTAGAATTAATAATATCTGTAAAATGTGTTTTATCATTTAACACAACATCTCATGTTACTGCTGAGCTCTAAGATAATTGTATGCACTGGAAGTGTATATTAAAATTCAATTACTTTCTTACACTGGGCTGCATAATGAAATAAAATAGCAGGAATAACTTAATTTGGAAAGGCCTTACTCTACTGTACCTCTTATGACACAGGTCAGCTATCCACAAAAAAGATAATATTATTTATAATATTATGTTTTTGATATATTCATTCAATTATTACAAAAAGTGGCCAAACAAACTATATAGATTTGTGCTGTATTATTACAACGCTTCATATCGGATAGCGGCGATCAATGTTAAGATAAAGCAGAAAAAGCTTACAGTACAGTCTTCCTGCCCTTTGTCTCCAAGTCACCTTAGCTATTACCAAGTCTTAGCTATTGCATGGATTTTAATCAGTGTCAATTTAAGATGCAAGCTCTCACGGTGGAAAACAATATATTATTCCATTGTGCCACCCAATCACCTGAAGCAATATAATTTTTATCCTGCACAGACTTCAACAACTACTCTAATCAGTCTTGCAGCTTCACCACTGAAGATTACCTGACTATGGCACCAGCTCTTTCTTTCAACTTAATAGAAATCAATACCAGTACACTGCCATATTGGCACAAATGATGAAAAGGGCAGAAAGCATGAAATTACGGAGCCTGTATTTAACTTACTGTACATTAAATGAAGGCAATGGTCTTAAGGTCATTTTTTGAGGAATATAAATTGATTAGGAACAATATACAAAATATTCACAATGGTGCAAAAATGATGTAAATGTTCCAAATGTACATCTGCTTTACATACATATGTTACAAATTTTCTAAACAAATTACTTGTAGAAATTTTAAACCAAAGATTGTTCTCTTTCAAAACACAAATACGTATGTAATATTAAAAATAAAACATTATGTTACATATAAAATATTCATTAAAATGCAATAAGTTTAGGAAAATAGTAACAGAAATTCAGCCAAATACCAGCTTTTTTCTGTAATTTCAGACTGAAAAATTGAAATCGGTGGTAAAAGTAGTTAAACAGACACATTTAGAATAACCATATTGAAGTACTGCTTATAACTCTTGATGTCTGAGGCCAACTGAGGAGTTATGTTTTGAAGAATTATAATGTTTATCAGGTTTTAATATTAACCTTCATGATAAGGGGAGACAGAACTCTTGTCGGTGCCTCCATAACTACAATCTACATTTGATGCATTTGCTGTGAAAGATTATTCTGAGGCTGATAACCAAAGAAATGTCTTTCCTTCAGCTCTCAACTAGCTGCTGGAGAAGAGCTTTAAAGGCCACTAAACCACTGCTTTCTGGATGCTAAGTTTTGCATCGGGCTCTGGAAAACACTAACTGTGCTGTCATAATGGGGAAACAAGCCTGGGTAGAAATCTACTTCTAATCTAGTTCTCTCTTTTTTAAAATGTGTGAAAGGTATTTAATTATATGGACAATTCAAACATTCATTTTTATATGAAATAAACTTTCCTGTTCTGTACAACACTGAAATACAAAATGCCTTTAAATCACGAAAGTTTAAAAGGTCACTCACTGATTTTTCTGTTCTAAATTATTTTGAATGATATATCGGTTTCCAGACTACAAATAGTATACTGTCCTTTACAATCTTGTTAACAAGGCAACGTATTTTGTACAGTTGGAGGTAATCTGTGCCACCCAGCCATTTTCACTGGGTCTGTAACCCTGAACCTATGGTTGGAAAATAAAGAAATACACACTGTGAGTACTATTTAATAAAACATACGTGGGGCTTTTTAAATCAGAGCAACGGAAAAGATAACATAGATATTAAATGCTATAAAATGTGTCACCTGACTAGTCCTGAAAAAAATGTCTTCAATTATGATTCTGAATTATAAAATTGATTCTGCCCTTAGAGTATTATGTGTCATATCACTTTACTTTTTAGTGACGTAAACTGTCATAAAAAACACTTCAAAATGTTGTTCAACAATACACTTACCATTTTAAAATTAAGCATAATTAAAGTGCAAAAATGCAAAACATTCACTTTCAGAATAAATTCACATACTGATAGAGAGCAGTTTTTTCGACATGAATGAAAGCCAAGAGTCCTACAACTTGTGTGGGTGTCATTCTAATATTAATTGAAAGGAGGAGATTTTAGAACTTAAATCATTGAAATCTCATTTGTTCACCTGCTCTAGGGAACTAACATTTTCAGTCTTCTTTCTTTACTCTGATTGCCATGAACAAATGACAGAGCAATGGGAAAGTTACACAATACCTTGGAACCAGAAATAATTGATTTATGCTAAAATAGTACATGACAATCATATCCAAAATAAGAAAACAGCTGAGTACGTGAAATGACCCAACATAGACAAAAACAATTTAAACAAGAAACTTCAAAAGAACCATGACATCTTTATTCCTTATTCAAGGTTTATTCAATAAACAATAATTAATGGCTCTTTTAACCAAGCAAATGAATACTCTACATATAAAATGCATAGTCTTTTCAAAATGTAATCCTTTTCAAGCAATGAAACACTTGGATATTGTAGAAAAAAGGAAAAACAGGTCACATAAGAACTTAATGATATAATGATATAATTTTTCATTGTTCAGAAATCTCTTTAGAGGATACACCTATGGTTACATTTAAATTGTCATATGATAAGATTTCCGGGATAAAAAGTGTCAACATACTTTTGACAAATGTCTGGTAAATGAATAGATGTTGTTAAACATAATCAAAGATGTGTCTGGTATGGGAAATAGGTGGCTGCAATGTCTTACTCAAATACAGCTGGTGATACAGCTAGCACATTTCATTACTTCATACTCAAGAGTTGCTCTGAAGCTACCCTAACCTCGGATACTCAGATTTGAAGGTGTTTCATGGACATTAGTTTAACTGAAATGGAAATTGCAGAGAAAGGTGAAGAAACTTTAAGACTGCAAAAACATTTGGACCTAATTTGATCATGAGTGTGACAGAAATTTACACCATCACAGGTGTATATGTGTCCTACTTAGCTCTATTTGTATCGAAGGCACTTAATTTAATTGGAGAGGATTCAATTTTTATAAGCATTCAAATATTTACAACAGCCAGAATATAATATATGGAGAGACCTCTGAAAACTATCATTATAGACTACAGTGCATAATGATAAGCATTTCAATGAGATACCCAAATCCTTCACTTTTTACAGTGTTTCCCTGATTTGATATACTTGGAAGATAAACTTAATTTGCCTCTTACCATCAACACAGGCAGGTCTTGCTCTTGTTGTTCCTGCGATTTGCCCTTTTTTACATGCACATCGTGCTGTTTGCCTGGCTATAGTCCTCCGAGGCTGACTGCTATCCCTGTCCAAAGTGACAATTTCACAAGTACCAGCAGCCAGCTGACCTGGAAAAGGAAACAGCAACAGGTAACAATGTCAGATTATGTGTTCTAGGAAATCAATTATTGCAGAAAAGAGCCGTGGCCAAATGTCACAGCAGGTGCTCTGTGACAGATGGAAAACGAGACTGATGGATATATTAGAAACGAAATGACAACATGTGATATATAATATATATGTATAGTATATACAGAATATGGAGGACATGTCAAACCTGAGAAAACAGTCCAAGTGTATACTTTACTATATATTTTCTTCTTTAAAATTATAAATGCATACTGGGGTCATTCCTTCTTTACTTGATAACAATGCCCGACAGACAGCATTTCTGTAAAAATGCTTCGTCCATTTCATTTCGTGTTAGACACTCACTATGCTTTCGATGTCATTCACACTAAAGGCGTCATTACAGTAAAAATCAATTAAAACAGTAAAACCTCAGTACCTTGAAGTTTCTGTGAATCCCAAATCTCCAAATGCAGGACTTAATACAGTATCTCAGGGGGAAATATGATGTGTTTCTGTGGGTTATGAAACACGCATTCCTGTAGAACGTTTTGGTTATAATTTTGTTATAAAGAAATAGCGTTAGTAATATTGATAATTAGTTTTTTTAATGAAAATGAGTACTGAAAACTGGGAAAGGATTGTTTTCCTCATATAATTAAAGTAAATGCATATGTAAACAAATTAGATCGTGGTTATTGTATTATAGCTTACCCCGAGTTTGTTTTTTTCATTCTTAGTAGAGAGCATTTTCTTTACTTTTTCCATCTTGTTTTTATTACTATTATAAATGCAGCACTACTGTACTATAATAGAGTCTATTACAGTACAGTAATAATAGAAAAGTATATTAAGTGCACTCATTCACTTTCCACTCAACCAACTCATTCTCCTGCGGTTTGTGTGATTTTCTTTTTTATAATTTCTTTTCTTATCCTTTTCCACGAGAACAGAGATAACTTTGGGGACCAAGGAAGTATTTTTTATTTAACATTTCTTTTATTTCACAGCACAACACTGAGTCACATACAGGCATCATTTTGATAACAGACCTACTCACAATGCACATCCAACCTTTTTGTGAAGGAAATTAAATAAAGAATAACCCATCATGCACTTTTTCAAAAATATGTTAACTAAGCTATGCCTTTCCTACAGAAACCAATGCAGGTTGAGCGGAAGAAGATGCTATCCAAGTGGGTGCCTGTGCTTTCTCTCCTACTCCGCACCCAGTGAATCGGCAAGTTTGGTCTGGGAATTCAGAAAAAGTGGTCACAAAATGTTTTGTGCAGATAGGTGAAATAACGCTTACAGACAACTGAAAATCAAGCTTTTTCTGTATACTACAGTATGTACATTTCCCCTTCACCATCATCTGCATAAAATTGATTTGATCCATTGTTCTTAACTAATGTAAAATCTTTATTATTGAAGGTAAGAAGGAAATGTCACAAAGCAACATGAGTGTCAAAATTACCTGTGTTGTTTTCCAGTATTTTTTTCCAGTGCCTTTCGATAATAATAATAATAATAATAATAATAATAATAATAATAATAATTATTATTATTATTATTATTATTATTATTATTATTATTATTATTATTATAAGGTAACACAGGAGAACAGAGAAATGAAGCCAATTATTAGGAGATTATTAGGAGGCCAAGTTTGATAAAGGCCAGAGGAAAATTCTGCAAAGATACCGGTGTAAAACCCCTACTCTTTTTGAAAAAATTAAAATTAGATGTAAAATACAAATTTCTAATTAAAAATGATAGGAATCAGTTACTGGTTGTATTGCTTTAAGTTTCTTTTTTACTGAATTCAGCATATGTATATACTATATATATTTTTGAAATTTGACTTGAAATTGCCAACTATTGCTTATAGATACAACACTTGAACCACACAGTGAAAATGAGGGCATGTGTATACTGTCCTCTGATTCTCCCTCCTATTGGATCCATCCCTCGTTTTGCAAGATGAAAACCCCACAGTGCTTTACAAGAGAGTCAGCACCAACTAACTTCAAGGTTGCTATCACTGCTGCAGCCAAATTCAAGGAACTGTGGACAGTCCAAGCTCAGTAGCCTACGGCATATTGTCATTCAAGCTTAAAATGACAGAGCCTCAATATACTCCTAAACTTGCTCTCCAAATTGTTGACATTATTGGTTAAAGCACATCTTATCACCTTTTTTAAGCCCGCTTGACAGTTTGAAAAATTGCACATAAACTTCCATCATAAAGCAATGGCTAAAGATCTCAGGGAAATTATTAAGAAAACAGTATATTTTTACCCAGAATACACAAGTTATCAATAATACAAATACAACTAATTTAATAGTAAATAAAAAAGTAAAAGATTTGCTTTAATCCTGCTATAAAACAACATCTCCGTTTGTACAGTGCATGATTTCTAGATAAGAAGTAACCTACTTTGTAAAAGTGCCAGAGAGACTCCCAAAGAACAAGATTATTATCTATTCTCCTGGTTTATTTCATCTAAGGGAGTCAAGGGTTTGGAGTTGTCATCATTTCATTTGGTTTACATTTCACAGTGCTGCACTTCACTGCATTAATCTTCTGAGCATCAAGGAATGAACTTAAACCTGTCTCATTAAATACAGTAGTGAATTCCCCTGTAACCTGCGAAATTAACAGGCAGCATAATGTGTTAATTTAGAAAGCAAGAAAATGAAACAAGTAAAAGAATAATGAAAAAGGCCATGTTTTGTGCATTCCTTAAAACCTAAAATCTGCAATATGCACATGATTAAGCACTGAGACCAAAATCAAAGAATGAAGAGGAACATTACATCTCTGTAGCTGAATATGTACCACCTAATCTTAAACTTAAATCTGTCATTTTTAGCAACCAAAGTGTTTTTCTAGTGTGTGGTGGATAAACAAAAGTTAAACCTTGGAACCTTGGAAGGTTGGACGATTTTGATGTGCTGGTTAGCTGTATTTATGATAATTACTAGTACAAAATGATTTGATATGAATCTATTTTTTTACTTATGTTTTTGTATTGTTTTTTATTAACATACAAAGGTAACCAGAAAAAAAAGAGTTGCCAGACATCTCAAAACCTCAAGTATTACAAATATAAATGAGTATAAAGTCTGTTATGTATCATACTTTTGCATCTTTACAGAGGGTATAATTCTTATTAGGTTCTTGAAATAATCCACCTCTCCCAGTATCTCTCAAAAACTTGAATCCTAAGTGTTTATTGAAAAACAAGGTAACTAAAGTTCTTGAGGTATGCAAATCACTTCTGCATTGACTAAATGCATATACTATAAATACAGATGATTAATCTAATGGAATCTGAAATTAAAGTGTCTTTATACAATACCGAGAAGCTTCAAAATTATGAATCACACTATAGCCAATACATTAAAAATACAAGGAAATCAGGACATAACCTGACATGAATCTGTAGTCTTTACTACAGGTTTGTATCATATTTTAAAAAACAATTCATAGCTAGAATCTGCAGTTATTACAAGGGCAATCTGAAATATACTTTTATAACAAATCTACTATTCATCTCTCTGCACAGGACCACACAGGCATACAAGGTTATTGCTACACAATGGGGCACTATCATTCTATACCTTTGTAACAGGGGCCATGGACAATTGCAAAAATGACATGAATGCTCCTAAACAAACACAAAAGAGTGTTTTCAATGCGCAAATGGTCTCACTTTTCTATGGTGAAAAAACAATAAAACAATAAAAACTTTAAATATAAAAGTATACATACCATTTATCTGAATAAAAAGTCTTCACTTGTGATCACGTATTTTTAAACAAAGTTTGCATTCTTAATCATTTAGATTCTAAACATTACTATACCATTATAAAAATAACCAAAAGGCTTCAATTGCAACTTCAAAGGAAATAAAGAAGCATTTACACATAAAATAGAAGGGAATGAAGGTAAGTATGAGAAAGAAAAGGAATGTTCTTTCAACAGCTTTCCAAAATAGTACCACTTGTTTTAACCTTAAGCACAGCATTTCATTAAGATTGACAATCAAATGATCACATATAAAAAAATGCACTTGCTTTGGGAAGTCAATTTGGCAAATAAATGAATAATACTAAAGTAAAGTTCATTTTGGGGAAGAAACTGTCCAACACTTCCTGTATTCATATGCTCATATTGCTATTGTATTAGCTTTTTTTTCATTACTTGACTTTCTGTTACACCAGTACCTCCATTGACTCCTTATTGCTGCATGCGTCTGATTCAGATCTCTAGTTCTCACCTGCCATGTCTCAACCACTCTGCTTCTGCCTGTCTTCAGTTTTATCTCTCTCTGCAAACCCTCCCTCTCTCTCACTACTCCTCATCTTCCACCACACTTTCTGTAACACATCTGCATTCTACCAGAACTAAAGATTTTCATTCAGGCTGGCATATATAATACTTGAATAATATGCAATGTAAGGAAATACAACACTACTGAAACGACTTCTACTGAGGGTAGAAGTTTCAGAGAATAATCACTAATAGATTTATTTTCAGTAAAATTCCAGCCATAAATGAATGCAACAGAATTGAAAAAAAGAGAGCTTTACGATAGGGTACTGGATACACAGGATAGAAGAAAGTGAAATTCTACCTAACAGATTAATGTTCAAATATGCATATGTATCCTACAGGTACAGTATATTTCACAAATTCAACCAACCAACTCTGTGTTATTTATTTGTAAAACAACCTTCTAAAGGGATTAGAAGGCTGCTCTATTTTGCTTTGAATTCAAACATCCATGGTCTTCTGCAGTATGTACAGCATTTAAATGTTCAGGGACACCCACTTAAATATCCCTTTAAATGCAATAAGATCTATCAGACTTCATTTAATTGGAACAGAACAACTGTATATGATTATCGCAAAGCATATCTAGGTCTAGTAATTAGAAAGGCATGTCTCATGACAGATTTACATACAATTGAGTCTAAGGGATTTCTAATT